ATTTGTACCCCGCTACCATCTCCCCAAGGGACTCAGTGTGGCTTACATGAGGCCGAGCCCACAATACAACAATAAAACACAGCAACAGTAATACAACAATAAATAAACTCATAAACAGAAAATAGCAATAAACATTAACAATAACACAACGACGTTTAACAATAACACAACGACGTGTCCATTCATGGTTTCGCTTGTGGCATCATTGAGGTGCTCAAGCTTTAGCACTCTGACAAGGTAATGATTCTTTGCAGGAGAATACAGTTATAATGTTTAAAAAACCACAAACAAAGTTAAAAGTTTGCAATTATTCTAAATGTTCTTTGACCACTTGGAGTGCCTCTGGTGTTGCTGTAAGAAGGTCCTCTGTTGTGCATGTGGCAGGGCTCAGACTGCATTGTAGTAAGTGGTCTGTGGTTTGTTCTTCTTCACACTTGCATGTTGTGGACTCCACTTTGAGGCCCCATTTCTTAAGATTGGCTCTGCATCTTGTGGTGCCAGAGCACAGTCTGTTCAGTGCATTCCAAGTTGCCCAGTCTTCTGTGTGTCCAGGAGGGAGTTTCTCTTCTGGTATCAGCCACTGATTGATGTTCCGGGTTTTCGCCTGCCACTTTTGGGTTCTTGCTTGCTGAGATGTTTCTGCTAGTATCTCTGTAGATCTAAGGAAGCTATTTCTTGGTTTAAGGCATTTGCTGGCTGATATCTGAACAGAGGATGGGCCGGAAATGTCAACGTCTTGGTCCTTTCACTTCCCGGTGAATGGCATGTGGTGCAATACCAGCTAAATAGTATAATTTCTCCAGTGATGTAGGGCATAGACATCCTGGGATAATGTGGCATTAAGAGACACATTCACTGTTTTAGCGTGGTGAGATGTATTCCATGTTGGGCATGTATACGCAGCAGCAGAGCAGCAAAGCGCAAGGGCAGATGTTTTCACTGTGTCCGGTTGTGATCCCCAGGTTGTGCCAGTCATCTTTCGTATGATATTATTTCTGGCATTCACTTTTTGCTTGATAGTTTGGCAATGCTTCTTATAAGTCAGAGCACGGTCCAGAGTAACTCCCAAGCATTTTGGTGTGCTGCAATGCTCCAGTGGGATTCCTTCCTAGGTAATTGGCAGAGCTCGAGATGTTTGTCTGTTCTTAAGATGAAAAGCCCACACCTGTGCACGTAAGTGAATGAGTGGAACAAAGGGAGAGAAAAGATATCCAAATTGATGCTTTTTTCTCTGTGTGTGTGTGTGACCTACAGTTTTGGACTCTCCTTGGGTGTATGATGAGTGTCCTCACTTCAGAATTTCACACCAAAGTCCCCTTTGGGACAAGGAACAGGTTGAGCATCTCTTAGTCAGAATTCTGAAATCTGGAATATTCCAAATCTGGAATATTCCTAAATTTTCCACATGGGTGGGTGAAATAATGACATGTTTGCTTTCTGATGGTTCAATCTGCACAAACTTTGCTTCAAGAATAAAACTATTTACAATCTTGTATAAAGTTACTTCCAGTGCTATGTGTGCAAGTTTTCTACAAAACATAAATTAATGACTTCTCTCCCATGTCCAAGATATCTCATTATGTACATACATGCAAATGCAAGTATTCCAAAATCCAAAGATATCTGAAATTCAAAACACTTCTGGTCCCATTAATTTCAGGTAAGGGACATTCAAACTTTTTAAAAAATTGTTATTGGAAGTCCATTTTTTTCATGCAAATAATCCATGTGTGCAGGCTTTTCTGCACAGCCCTGATATTTGGATTGAGGTTTTAAAAAGGAAAGTTAATAAACACATGTACACACATCTCATATTCTAGCAGAAAAAGACATAACCTAATAGCACCTTGGAGTCTAGTTGGGGAGAAGACACTTGTGCTATAAACTTTTATAGATACAGACCATTTCATCAGGTCCTAGCATTACTCTGTAACTTCCAATCTGAATGTATTCATTGGATCAAATTGAATGTGTCTTCTTACTATACTAGGTGTCCAAGTGCAAGGACAGAGTATATTTCGCCACACAACAATTACTTTTTAAATGCCTTGCTTCAAAACATAAGCACCCAGGGAAAATGGAGGCAAAATGATCAGGCATGCCTTGCAAAATTCAGAATATGTGGCTTTTGAGCACCCTCTGGTGGCACAGAAATCTTAAGGCATAAATGGTTTTCATTTCTATCCTTTTGACTTCTTTTTCATGAAGATGGAAAATGCCAAGAATAGGTAGGCATTGATAGGACGAGGGTGGATATTTTTTGGAAATAGATCCTCTCATTCAAATAGAAGAAGTGAGGGATGGAAAAGACTGAATTTAGAAAGAGATTGGCCCTTCTTCCCACACACATGTGCTGTTTCAATATGTTCAGTTGCCATTGAGGTATCCCTGATAAGGTCATTGCTGGCACAACTTCAGTCTCTTTCCATGATATCGTTTCTAATACATTTATTATTGAAGGTTTCATGGGCTACAGTCCACTTTGACAGATGGCTCCCTTAAACAAAATTTCTAGTAGAAAAGCCTCTATTGCAGTACTGCCTGTTACCCCTTCCTATGCCCATCAAAAGCAAAAGATGAGGGAGAAAGACAAAACAGAAATGGATGTTCAACAAAATGTTGCTGCATGTGATAGTGCAAAGTTCCATCCACACAATTCCCTTCCTCACTTCTTTAGTTTTGCATTTTTTTTCCCCAATGCTCAGTCAGTATAGGAATATCCATTAGGTTTGTGCGGGTAAACCTTGATGCGTTTTGTGTCTTGGCTTTCAGTGGGGGCCCCGATCCATTTTTGGGAGCCTTCCAAAATTAGGAGGGCAGATACCTGTTTTCACTCTGGGGTACTGAAAGATCAGTTTGCTTTCAGCCCATTATGGGGGAGGGCTTCCCAGGCTTCCTTTCCCCGTCATAGGCATTTAAGCTGTTTCTACTTAGCTGCAGGTGGGTGCATGCTTTAGGGAGGCTTCTTACCTGTTTCTCTACTCTAGAGGAGAGGTGTTCGGTTGTTGGCAGGAGCACACTTTCTGGGCCTGCACACCACACATGTACTCTTTCCAAAGCAAGGAGGGAAGTTCTGTTTCTTACCCTATAGGAGCTTGCATGCAGGCAGGTGTGCACGCTTTCTGGGCCCGAATACCACACATGTACTCTTTCCAAGGCAAGGAGGGAAGATGTTTCTTACTCTAGAGGCGTTTGGCTATAGGCAGGCGCACACACTTTCTGGGCCTGAATGCCACACATGTACTCGTTCCAAGGCAAGGAGGGAGGTTGTTTCTTACTCTAGAGGGGCTTGGTTACAGGCAGGCGCGCACACTTTCTGGGCCTGAATGCCACACACGTACTCTTTCCAAGGCAAGGAGGGAAGAGGTTTCTTACTCTAGAGGCACTTGGCTGCAGGCAGGTGTGCACGCTTTCTGGGCCTGAATGCCACACATGTACTCTTTCCAAGGCATGGAGGGAAGTTCTGTTTCTTATTCTAGAGGTGCTTGGCTGCAGATAGGCACGCACACTTTCTGGGCCTCCACGCCACACAACGTACTCTTTCCAAGGCAAGGAAAGTTCAGTTTCTTACTCTACAGATGCTTGGCTGCAGGCAGGTGCACATACTTTCTGGGCCTCCACGCCACACAACGTACTCTTTCCGAGGCAAGGAGGCTGCTCATGAAAAGCAGACGAGGAGCTGGTATCGGCTCCTGCCTGCTTTCGTGATGAGCTGATTTTTGTACCGGGAGGGGGCTTCCTGTTACATGCTCCTGAAGGTAATGAAAGTAATGAAAGAATGGATGTAACAACGGAAAGCAGATTCACGTGCAACTCTAATATCCATTGGGCTTATTCTCCATTCCCTAAAAAACAGACTTTATCAAATGACTGTTAAAACTCTTCAGTTTCATGCATGAACTTTTGATCTCAAATAATAGTGGTCGATAATAACCAAAGAATTACATCAGCCAGCCATTGCCCTGCAAATTGCAGACAATACTTTATTGGTAGCAGATGCTAGACAACATTTCAAAACAGAAATATTTTAATGAAAATACATTTTCCCCCACATTTAAGTGTCTTTTCCTCCAAATAAAACCTAGAAGGCATTTTAAATTATACCTCTTGAGGGTTTTCTTTCCCTTTATACAAAGGTAATACAAAAAAATAACATCCAACCCATGCTTTTTAAATTTATTTTTTCAAAACTGGTAATTTAGCAGAAAACTTTTTTTTCAATGTACCATTAAAAATCTTGATTGTTTGGCTAAAATAGTTCTTTAAAATAGTGCAATCTTTGTGTTGTGTGCCTCTGCTTTAAACATAATTTCATTTCAATGAAAAGAAAATTTGTAACATGTAGCTGGATACGAGCTGGTCTCATTCACAAAGAATGGTTCAGGCACAATCCACTGCAATTTTTTGTGCGATTTCTATTTAAATGAACAAAAACACTGTGCTCTTGTACAAGTCCCATTCATATGGGGGGGAAAACTGCTGTGGGATTTCCCACCATGGTTATGCTAAGTGGATTGTATTTTTAAAACTCACTTTTAAAACTTTTCAAAATGTTAGTGGGGAACAGAAACAAAAAGCCACACTATGCTATTCCTGTGCTAGCTAGATTCTGTTTGTGTTCCCAATCAAAAGCTGTGTTTGCCTAGGGTGTGCTTGTAACACAATTTATCCACTTTTAGACCCTTGTAATATATATATATATATATATATATATATATATATATATATATATAATATTATATTATATTATATTATATTATATATAATATATATATATATAGGCAATTGCCCTCACATTGTGCATATCTGTCTTCAAGTTGCCTGTTGAATTATGGTGATCCAATAAATTTCATAGGTTTTTAGGTAAAGACTTCTCATAGGTGGTTTGCCAGTTCCTTCCTTTAAATCTACCCTACAGCAGCTGGCATTTGTTGGAGGTCTCCCAACTAAGCACCCTTCCACACAGCCCTATATCCCAGAATAACAAGGCAGAAAATCCCACATTATCTGAGTGGCAGACAAGATCCAGCCAAAATAAACGGATTGCTCCATCCATCTTAATATTGTCTACTTTGATTGGTAACCATAGGCAGACAAAATTTCAAGTAGGACTTTCTTTACCTGTAAGGGTGTTGACACCTGGGATCTTCTGCATGCAAGGCAAATATCCTGTCACTGAGGTATGTTTTTTTTTCTCTTTTGTTGCTGAAGAATGACATTTTGTTCCCTGGGGTGGGAAATTAAAATTTTGTGCATTACATTGACACCATTTTGGTTGTCGTTATGTGCCTCCAAACTGACTCGGGCTTATGGTGGCCATATCATGCATCTTAGCATGATACATTATCACTGCCTTCCTCTCAGGATGACAGTGAGACTTGATTGTGGCTCCCCATTGGGTTTCCACAACTGAGCAGGGATTTGAACCCTGCTTTTCCAGAATCCAAGACTCAAACTGATATATCATGCAGGATGCCTAACCCACTATCACCCACAATAATTAATTAAAAACACAATTTGTTGAGTACCCACTCCACTCCACAATTTCTGTTCATTTCAACATGGGCTAACAAGAACAGCTGAAACAATAGTACTCCATAAATCAAAGCTGTCTGAATCTGGAATCTGGACCTGTGGTACCTACCACATCTTGCCTTAAGATAGGACTGTTCTCAGTTTCAGAGCAGAGGGAGCAATAGAAGTCCAGTTCTACTTCTTTTTTTAGTTACAATCACACCTAGTCAAAATTTGTCAAAACAGGAGAGACACGTAGCCACTTCCTCAGCAGATGGGCAAGTTATAGAACAGTTTTGAAAATGTTATGGAGTGGCATAGTGGTAGAACACATTATTTACATGTAAAATATTCCTGATTTCATCCTTGGTATCAAGTGGGAAATGATGGCATAGAGGTATGCTAAGAAGAGCTACTGGAAGTATAGACCATGTAGAGCTACACGGACAAACTGCTTTACCAGCTACAAGGAAGCGAAATGTGCCATTTGATAGTTTTGGAACCCCATTCTGGTTTTTACATGAAATTATTACTTTAATTTTTCAGAGAAAATCAATAATATTATGTGGAAGGGTCCTGAGAACAGTATCCTATGGTGTTTTACAACTTGGGCTGCCATCCTATGTATCTTTCTTACTTGGAACAAATCCTACTGACATGAATAGGGCTTACTTCTAAGTTGACATATGTAAGATGGTATTCTAAGTCAGTTCCAACTAGAACTTGAAAAAAATCTTTTTCTGAACTAGAACTTCCATGATCCCTGACTATAATGGTTTCTTGAAGGCATGCTCCAAACAAAACACTTTGCCCACCTATTAGTAACAGGCATTGTTCTTCAAGGCCTACAGCTTGCTAGGGGATGTATACAACCATAGAAAGAACATGGGGCATGTCATCTACAGTGAACAGATGAAAACAGAAGTGAGAATAAATAGGGATGAACCAATATGCAAGGCTGGCAAGCAAGTTAAGGCTAGGCAAGTTTTGAAATGCATACAGAGAGGGGCTGGGAGTATTTGACCCTTCAGATGTTGATCACATCTCCTATCAGTCCTAGCTAGGCATAGCCAATAGGGAAAGGTGGCTCACAACATTGTGAGGACACATTTTCCCCATTTCTAAAGCAGATAATAGGTGTGTATTCCCCTGCATTGAGGATGGTATGCAAGAGGCATAATTACCAGTGAATATAGTCATCTGACAAACAGATATTTATATTGTTTCAAAAGCTAACCAGAAATATACATTTGTGTACACACCAAAATAACTCTTATTCTCTCCCTCTCTCCTTCCCAAAGTACTTTTTGTCCAGCCTAAATAGATTAATGTTTGGCACTTAAAGAGGTGCTGCGACTGTGGAGGAAGTTGGAGCCAAAGGGGACTGAAGGGAATAAGATGGTGGCAGGGAACTGGGGGGAATGATAATGAATATAGGAAATAGGGGTCGAGTGTAACGTGTGTATATGCACATGGATGCCAAAAATGGGAAAGAACTTCCAGTTGTTAAGGATAGAAATGTACAAGCAGTATGAACAGGACATTTCTACAGGGACAAAATTTGGCCATTAAGAGAGTCCTATTTCATTGTACTGATCCAGAATAATGAAATTTACAAGTTCTTCTAGAGGGCTGTTTCTCTGGCATCTACCCACAAAGTTTCTGTTCCATTTCTATCTGCAGCAATGTCATTATCTCCGTGCAACAAAAACAGGGTGGTGCTACCCTTGTAGCATAATGATAATCTTGCAATGACAGGACAGGCAAGAGCTGTAAAAAAATTGTGCCTGTATATTGGTCAAGGAAAGCACACAGCAATGGGAGAAAACGGCAAAGGAAAAGAAAGTTTATAAACTTATTCATTTTTCCCAAGTGTTCAGTGCATCAAGGCAGGAGAAGTTGTGATATCTCTTGCTGGCGGCACAGGCCCTGACCAAAATATTATGACTGCAACTAACCTACCAAATGATCTGCAAGCCAGAGTAGCCACTCTTAAGTCAGGGGAAGGAATTATATTTTCCTGCTACTATGTTTATCTCGGTGTTTTTGCTGGTGATTTCACTGGAAGGAACAAATTGTCTGAAACAACATCATTTGGTTGTTCTTGGGAAAATAAATCGTGTCTGGCATGACCCTTTGAGAAGTGACTATTTGTTAACATTTCAAGACAGCAGGCGGCATGAAATCAATTCAACGCCAGTTAGCCTTCACAGCATGACCTCAGTGTGAATATACTGCGTTTGCCCTGAAGACATATATCTGCCTGCGTAGCCTTCAACAAGTTGTTTTCAGGTGCAAAGTGCATGCAATTTCTGCTCCTCTTAACTCAATAAGCAAACCTGTAGGAGGGGAGGAGAGGGTCCATTGTGCTTAGGAGACAAAATATTGTTCAAAAGAAATGCTTCCTTTGGTGATATCGAAGGGCAAAGAGCAGTCACAACTGTCTCTTACAAATGTTGCACCCAGACACATCTATCCAATGACTCTAACTTTTGGATAAGCAAAGGACAAACACTGTACTGACAGTTACTTAAATCTTTCTGCAAAAGTTTCTTTGGGAGAGAGTAGGATGGAAATCTAAAATAATCAGAACAGTGCTCTTTCACATAAAGACTTGTGTGGGATGCTGGTGGAGAAAGCACCAATTTTTTGTACAAGGAAAATCACAGGCCAATGATGTTCAGGTGGAGCCATGAAACTACACAAAACTACAGGGATATCTATGGCACAAAGAGAAGTGAGTCATAGCTTTAGGACGTATTAGCTTTCAGCTTGGCCCTGACTCCATCAAACTTTAACACTTAGCATCTACTACAGTGGTTCTCAGCCTGTGGGTCCCCAGGTGTTTTGGCCTACAACTCCCAGAAATCCCAGCCAGTTTACCAGCTGTTAGGATTTCTGGGAGTTGAAGGCCAAAACATCTGGGGACCTACAGGCTGAGAACCACTGATCTACTACCTTTGCATTAACTCCAAGCATCTGCCCATAGAAGAGGATTTGGCTTTACCATTTACCTGTCACATGTAAGGTGGACACTCTAAACAACATCCCCATAGCCCAAAATTGTGGGAAGGCCCATGTTTTAAAAGTGAACAGGTCAGTGGTGGAACTACAGGATATATGTGACTCACTTGACACTTTCTTGAGGACCTAAGGAAAAACATGGTGATGGCTGAATTGGTGACAGGATCCATTCATTAAAACAAAAATCTGACTGACAGACATATATGTGAGAAATCTTGTAACATTGTGTTAAAATAGTCTTAGCTTTATTGTCTAATAGGTATAAAAATAGTGCCTGTAGGCTGCAATTCTTCGCAGTTGTTTCAACCAAATGAGAGGTCAGGGGTTGTGAGGAGGAGAGAAGAAAGAGAGAAGTGGCAGCTTTTTTTGACTCATCTAAAACTCTCCCCTCTGGATAGCTCTTTCTTTTCTGAACCCAGTAAGGAAATTCTGGAACCTGCTCCCCACTCTGTATTCTAAGTGGGTGGGTGAGGCAAATACACCATTATTTCATGTTAGTTCTCCATGATTTTTTTAAAAGACATTCCTGCACCCCACAGTCTTCTGAAAATGATACTTCAGACATGTCAAAAGTCAAGGGGCTTTAGATGGAGCAGTCAAATGTAAGCAGCCTAACACAAAAGACCAGGTTTAAGCCATGGGGACAGTGGCACATAAAAAGGCTCTAAGAGATTCTGCCAAGCCCAAAGGGACCTGGCAGGGGCTGGCTTCAGTGTCTGAGTACAAACAGGAGCAATGCTCCCATAGAGCAAATGCTTCTGGTGCAGGATGCCATGCACATGCCCGCACAATGGAAACAGGCCAAACGCAGACACATGCACCATACATACACGCAATTGCACACAAACAATCACACACCGTTTTTTTGAGGCGCAGCTGAGAGAAGAAAATTCATACACAGAAAGATTACAAAATACGATCCTTCAAATAAGGCCTACTCTCTTCCACAGCTCAGTCCTCCCCACGCCCAGACCACCCTTACCCCCTCACCCCCCAAAAGGCTGCTAGGCAAAGAATGGCAGTGTGTTGCATTCTGGGAGGGTGGGAGGTAATGGTTTCCTGACACAAATCAAACAGTAGCTTGGCAGAAGGAGGCAGTGTGCTGAAGCGGAAGGCCTGAGGCAAGTCTCTCAGCAGAGCAGATGAGAAAACCAAGCAATAGTACTCCACTGCCTTTTGTACATGGGCAAGGGGAGGGATGGCACCCATGTCCTCACAACACCACCCCTCAGCTAGAGCATGGCAAGCCTGCCCCACTATAGAATGAGGAAGTGCACTCCCAGAGCAGCTGCACTCCTGCATGGCAATGGCCTCCCCGCACCCATGTTTCACAGTCTCTCCAAGGTCTCTTCAGGGATGGGGGCAAGGTCATGACTGCGCATGCGAGATCCACTGGCTGTCCATGGGGCGCCTCAGCAGTTCCTCTACGTGCCGTGCCACATCCATTGAGTCGTCCAAGTCAAAGTCCCCATCCGGGTCCAGTACAGAGTCAGAGCTGAGACAAAGGAAAGAGCATGCTGGTCAGGGGGCCTGTAGAGAGAAAAAAAATCCCCCCTTCCTGCCCAACTCCTATCCACTTTTGCAAAGCCATAAATCTGTCCCTTTAATCATATTCAGAATCCCCTGAAAATTACAGTTCCTGGGATTGTTTAGATGATGCCACCCTACACGGACCTCAGGATGATATTAGAGCCAGAAGGCTGGTGGGAGATCCAGGTGCACTGCTCCACTAAGTCATGAAGCTTCCTGGAAAAGCAATCTGATCTATCTCAGGTCCAGGCTATTTGACGAACTGCATCTCCCACGACAAACAGACTCTATGATCATCAGAGGAGACTCTGTTCTCAGTCCCACCCCTGTCTCAAGCATGGCTGCTGGGAACCAGAGAGGGGGCCTTCTCCATGGTTGCTCCCCACCTCTCGATCTCCCTCCCTAAGGAACTAAAGATGGCCCCTTCCCTCATCGCCTTTAAGAAACAGCCGAAGACATACTTCTGCTCATTGGCCTACAAGGAGAAGGAATAGATATTGACATTGCTATTATACCTCTGAGTAACATCTGCAATCTGTACTTGGGTATTTCCACCCCACTAGCTCAGTTGACATCTTGAGCAGTGATCAATGTATATGCCCCCAAGGAACTCTGTTGACTCTGGGAAATTGATGCTTCTACTTTTATGTTTTATGTCTCATACAATATGTTATTTAAATTTTATTCAATTTGCTAAGTTATAATTTGTTTTTATATGCTGTAGAGTTTATTTTTTGTTATTATGTGTCTATTAGTTGTTATGATCAGGCATTGAATGTTTGCCTTTTTTGTGATTGGAATCCGCCCTGAGTTCCTTCGGGGAGATAGGGCAGAACATAAATAAAGTTTTTTTATTATTTTAAAATGATTAAATAGATCTGTGTAAACCACTTACAGCTCAGTGGGAGTGAGAAATAGTATATACATGAACTGATTTAACAAAACAACATGGCACAGTTCCTCCAGAATGTCTTTGGTAGAGGTAAACCCATCTCCTTTCTATCTTGCATCTTGATCAGTACAGATTTCCTTTTATAAACTATTGTACACCAGATATTCTTTCATTTTTAACCATGTTCTATTCAATTTTTTATATGGGGATTCCTGTCCCCCATGATTGCAATGAAGTTGAACTGGTTTCAAAGCCATTTACATTTTAAAGTAGGTATGTCCTTATTTTTTGAAGACAGAAGACAGAGGGATTGGCTTGCAGATTTTGTGTTGCTGTGTGCCTTCAAGTTATTTCTGACATGGCGATTCTAAGATGAATCTATCTGGGGTTCTGGAGTTGAAAGTGTGCAACTGGCCTAATGTCACCCAAGTGGGTTTCCATGACATCCAGAGTCTAAGTTCAATGGTCAAAAAACACCATGCTGGATCTCAGATTAGCTTGAGGTCTTTAAAGAAACCATAAAGTAGAAAGCTATGGCTAGGGAAACAAACAGGTAGGCATGTCCTGAAGTGTGAAAGGCTTATACCAATTCACCTGTTTTGTCTCTATCTCCTAATTTTAAAAAGTGGGAGATTTAGTTCTGCTGTTTTTGTTTCTTTTTTAAATATAGTTAGTCCTTTTCTATGTGAAGGACTGCCTGACTGCAAAATTACTGTTTGCATTTTTGGGATGTCCACAAGATTTCTGTCAGATTTTTGGGTTTGGGAAAATTAAACATGACTTTCCTGCAGAAGGTTGAAAGGAATGAGAAACATCCCTGTGATTTTTCACTCATAGTTTCACTGTCTGCAGCTCACCAAGCAGCTATTTGGTGGAAGAAGTAAAGCATGTGTTACTGGAAAGGCAGTGCATGTTGTGAGTTATCCCTGCACATCATTCTCCCCATTTACACCACCAAATCCTGTCTCAATTGATTCTGAAAAAAGATGGGATGCAGTCTCTTACTTAATCTTTCCACTTTCTTCTGTTTACCTGGCTCCCAGTCTACCCTATTGTAACAATTTACTTACTTCTGCGCATACATGTTGTAGTGGGACTGTGGACAAACAGCTGGGGATGACGCTTGCTCCATATACGTAGTCCCTCCACCTGCAGAGTCCCCAGACGTGGTAGCAAACCTGCAACAGATGTGGGAGGAAGTGAAATCAAGTAGTTCTAGAACAGGACTTCTTAAAGCTTTTCCACTGGAGATCCCATTTGGCCCAAGGAATGTTTATGTGACCCTAACATTGAGCTAAGAGAACCCTATTTTGGGTCGAGACCCATAGTTTAAGAAGCAGTGTTCTAGAGAGTCTTTTGTCTGACTCATCTCCAAAGATATGTCATTTGAGGGAAAGTCAGACCGAGCCACTTCTGTATAATGAGTCACCCAATTTCCATGAGCAGCAAGAGCAGCATTACCGTAAACATCATTTGGTGTAAAAGCTGGACATAAACAAACAAAAAGTATGTACCTCTCCTTGATTATTTCCTGCTCCCACTCCCTTCAACAAAGCCTAACACTAGAAACAACAGCTGGTCTATTGCATTCTGTCCAAACACACAAATGGATCAATTCATCTTAAAGCAGTGTTTCTCAACCTTCCTAATGCTGTGACCCCTTAATACAGTTCCTCATGTTGTAATGACCCCCAATCCTAAACTTATTTTTGTTGCTACTTCATAACTGTAATTTTGCTACTGTTGTAACATAAATATCTGATTTTATTTATTGTGTCAGAAGCAAGTTGTGGTACAGTTAAAATTAAAAGTTAAAATACAATGTTAATGCTAAATGTCCTTTGACCAGAAGCTGGTCACTTCGTGTGTCTCTGGTGTGCCTTTGATATTTTGTTGCATGACTTGCAATATGCAACCAAATATCTGATATGCTGGATGTATTTTCATTCACTGGACCAAATGTGGAACAAATACCTGATACGCCCAAATTTGAATACTGGTGGGGTTGGGAGGATTGACTTTGTCATTTGGGAGTTGTAGTTGCTGGGATTTATTGTTAACCTACAAAGAACATTCTGAACTCCGCCAACGATGGAATTGAGCCAAACTTGGCATGCAGAACTCCCATAACCAAGAGAAAATACTGGAAGGATTTGGTGGGCATTGACCTTTAGTTTTGGAATTGTAGTTCACCTATCTCCAGGGAGCCCTATGGACTCAAACAATGATAGATCTGGACCAAACATGGCACAAATATTCAGTATGCCCAAATGTGAACACTGATGGAGTTTGGGGAAAATAGACTTTGACATTTGGGAGTTGTAGTTTCTGGGATTTATAGTTCACCTACAGTCAAAGAGCATTCTGAACCCCACCAACGATAGAATTGGGCCAAACTTCCCACATAGGACCCCCATGCCTTGAAGGGACTCACTGGTGCAAACCTCCCTCCAGCCTTTTATGGATTCATCGTATGTATCCAAAAAGGAAGGACCCCTCTGAAACCACCTCACAACCCCCCCCCCCCCCCCCCCCCCCCCCCCAGGTTGAGAAACGCTACCTTAAAGGAAAATATCTGGTTCCTCCATTCCGTGTCTTTAAAAAGATACCCCTTTGGACTAACTCCCCAAATCTTGTTTATTAGGAGAATAATAGTCTTTTAACATTTCCAAGATTTGCTCTGTTCCTTCCATATTATATGTTTCAAGGACCCCCTCCTCCTTTATTCTGTATGGACCCAACCTAATCTTTTTCCCACCACAACTGAAGATGGTTTAATAGAGAACCAAGGCAAGGGAACAAAAGGAGTAAAAAAGACAGTATGAGAGGAGTTGGTAGCAGCACCAGCTCTCAGGGTACTCCTCCTCTACTTTTCTAGCATATGTCCCTTCTATCACTCATCTCTTCTCTTAGGAAAGAAGAAGAGAGAAGACCTAGAGCTGGTTTCAGATTTGGAAAAACATAAAATCTCAAGGGAAATGGAGGTGGTAAATTAGCAGGAGTTTTAACTGTAGGCAGAACTCCGGAAAAGGTGCTGCAGAGAATATGCAGCCAAAGTTTGAAGAGACGTGTGCTCCCCTCCATGCCATAATTCTAAACTCCCCTCTAATAAAAACCCAACCACCATCATCACCCTTTTCTTCCATGAAACTCACTCTGGAACTACTTGCTTGATCTGTGGCTTCACATATCCATCCACAGCCTTTGCTGCAAAACAATAAAGGGGAGGAAAGCACTGAATTATTACATTGGTCATGGTAAACACCTTGACCCCCAATCTCTGCACTGCATTGCAGAGACACAGGAAAACCGTTGAATGTTTCTTGTTTATCTTATTGTGCTCCTGCTCTGTCATAAGGGGCTGCAAGACTTTGTGTAGTGTTCTTGCGTTCTCCCAATGTGCATATTTCTGTACACATTTTTCTAATTTACACATGTGCTTCCAGTAATTAAAGAATGTTTTAATGTATATTTTTCAACAGTCTGAATTTTCAGCCATTTGGATTCTGTGTATACTTCTTCACAGAAAAGGCGAATAAACCCCACCACCAACACATGTGAATTATCAGGGCAGAAGTGCATTTCTTTGTGCCACAAGTCTCAAGAGATGCGAAAATGCTACTTTTCCCGAGACTCCAGTTTCAAATCCAATTTCTGATAAGCAATTAAAAAAACAGTTTTGTTTCCACCCAGAATCACATTGGCCACAAAGAAAAAGTGTCAACAAATCAATTTCACCTACAACGTCAACTTCTTGAAATGTACACACTTCAAGTCTAGCTTCTATAACAACTTCTCTCTCCTATTTTCACTTCTCTTTGAAGAGTTGTTTATACATTTCCCCTTCTGGCAAAATACTTATAATTCAGTTTTATACACTACCAGGTATTACTGACAGGTCTTTTGGACTATCAGTTATTTAGATTCTATCCAGGAATCTAGGAATCAGTCAGATATTGCTGGATAATGTGGAATGTTGCAAGCAATGTTGCTTTTTGTAATTGTTTGCTGTGATCCTATGGAAGTTTTGAAGAATCATAGAATCATAGATTTGGAAGAGACCTTGTGGGCCATCCAGTCCAACCCCCTGCCATGAAGCAGGAAAGATGAATTCATTCAGTCCAACTAGAATTGCTCTTAGAACACCCATCACTACTGGAATCACAGCTGTATCCTTTAAAAAAATAAATGTTATCTATCTGCCAATGTTATTAGACTGATTTCACAAAAAGGAGTAGTTCTGGATCAGCAGTGATTCAGAGTCTACCCAAGAATCTAGGAATCAGTGAAGCATTGTCAGTCAATGTGGAATGTTTCAAGAAGTGTCATTTTTGTCACTGTGCTATTGTTATCCAGTCTGTGTTGACTATGAGGGATTGCCTAAGTAAGTAAGTAAATGTGTTGACTTCATTTAGAAGTTTTATCAGTACAACTGGAATTGCTTTCAGTGCACCTATCACTACTAGAATCACAGATGCTTTCTTCTAATAACAGGTTTTGTCTGTTGTTGCTGTTGCTGTTCTTATTTCAGTTTCACTGTCTACCATATACAGTGTTCCCTCACTACTTTGCAGTTTACTTTTCGCAGACTCGCTGTTTCATGGGTTTTTGTTTCCCAATTTATGTTTGGTTGCTGTTGCCCAGAGCGGCGTTCTAATCCCGCCTCCTGGCAACGATGGAGTGTGGAAGAAACGTAACACTCGCAGTAAGTGAGGGAACACTGTATTCTTGTCTGGAATAGTTTTTGGACCACCAAAGATTCAACTTCTATCCAAGGATCAAGGAATCAATGAGACAGTGTTGGACAATGTGACATGTTCCAAGCTATTGTGACACTATCTATGGCAATTTCATTCAGATATTCTGTCAATCCATTTGGAGCCATAGATGATGATGATTTTTTTCTACTGCTCCTACTATTGCTACTAAACTTTATTTATGTAACATATTTTTCCCCAAACCAGGACACAAGTTGGCTTAAGAATTAAAATAATACAATAGAGATCAACATTAAAATGCAACTAAAACTACCAATAACTTTACATAATTCCATATCCTGGATGAAATAGGATGCCTTGACAAAAACAGGTGTCACTGTTGAATGTAATTACTGCCTAGATCCCTACACTAGAGGTCTACAGATACAAATTTATAATAATAAAACTTTATTTATACCCCACAACCATCTCCCCTAAGAGACTTGGGGTGGCTAACAAAGGACTCAAAGGTACCACACGTAAAACAGAATTACATCTCATCAAGACAATATACAATTTGACTAAATACAACAATGAAGAACATTGATCAATAAAATTAAAAAATTAAAAATTCTAAAACACAGTCATACTTGTGGATCATTGGGTTTCTTCAAACACGAACTAAAGTGTGGAATAACAATGGTCAACATCATCACATGACCACAGTACTTTACTCCAGGTCAAAGGCCCATGTAAATAGCCATGCTTTAAGGCTTGAATGGAAGGTTTGGAGATTTGGGACTAATCAGAATTGGAAACATTATTGTGACATTACTTTTTGGACTACAGCCTGTGGGATGGACTGTGGCTGGATAGATCAGATCAGTTTTCTAGCAATTCACACTCACCAAGGACTGGCATGTAGTATTTGGAGAAGACCTCTTCCTTAGGCCTGTCAGGATACACAAAAAGGAGGTATGGGAGATCTCCAAGACGGTCTGCTAGTGACCGGATGGAGAAGTCACGGGTGGTGAAGGGCATCAGGTTCCAGAACATTCTGTCAGCTGTAAAATTAAACATGGCTGTTACATAGCATTAAGATACAACAAACAGATCTGTGTGCAACTAGGAGATGAGGCATACCTTCAAAGAAATGCAAGGCAATTGCAGAGGTAGTAGTGAGGAAGTAATAACTATTACAGCTGCTATGAGCACAACTGTTATAGTAAATATGTAATCTAACCCTACATATGAGAATACACAGGGAAAAAATGGAACTCCAGCTACAATTGAGTAAAAGATCTGCACTGCTTGTGTTAAAAACAACCCACCCCCCAACACTACCTTTGCCCAAAAAATTCAGATTAAACACCCGCAGAAAAGTTAAAGACAAAATGCAACATTTCTCCAGCGAAATAAAAGTACTCACTATTATCAAACTTCCAGGCGATTGTGATACCACCAATCTCAGAGTCACTGAACCTCAGGAGGAACGTTCCATCTGGTTTGTTGATTAATAAATCATGTGCCTGCTGCTTATTGACAAAACCTAGAATCGCCCTGTAAAGAGAGAGAAAGAGAATAACATCAGGCTGCATTGAATTAAGCCCTGGAAAACTCAGATAGCACAACAGAGAGATACGCAGGGATCTCACCCATCATTCCAGTGAGGCTTCAAGTGCTTCTTCAGGACCTCCATCACTCCATCAAACCACTGCCAGAATGTGTAATTTCGCCCTGGGAGATTCTCCTAGTTCAATAGAACAAGAGACCAACATTACTGCCTGTATCTCACTTTGCAGTCTTTTCAAAGCAGCAGAGTATATTTATAAGTTCTCTGATGGTTTACAAAAAGCACCGACTGATACAGTGGCAAAGTTCACAGGTGGCCCCATTACTCATAAACTCCACATGCAACCCATAAGTTAACTTGACTCTGATTCCCAGTTGGCTGACATCAACTGCAGGAATGGCCTCTATGGATTTGAACAATTTGACACAGAAGGCTCTTCAATGAGATGAAAAATCTATCTATGAAGTTAAGTCAGATGTATACAACTTTTATCCATGTGTCGGGTCACGTTTTCAATCTAGGTCAGAAACACTGCACTGGAAAGTTTGCGCAAGTGGTGCTGGCAGAGCTCAAATACTGACCCTGCCAACTACACTTCAATCTACTTCAAGAATTTTGATAGTGTATCAAATGAGTGACTTTGAAGGCAAACTGTTCACACAGCCAGCTCTCTGCAAGCATTCTTTAAGAAGCTAACTTGAAAGCACAGACTATCAAATACCTGGAGAGCTGGTATAGCATAGTGATTGAAAAAATGCATTCTGAAGTTGGAAGCACAGACTTCAAATCTCAGTTTGTCCAAGAGCTTGCTGGAAGACTTTTAAAAAAATCATTTTTTATTATTGCAGGTTAAGTTTACATTACATTTATTTATATATCGGCAGTTAATATCCAATCTCACTTATACATTTTTATTACCCTCTAAATACATGATGATAATGATGATGATGATAATGAGCTGTTACTATAATGTCAAAATCTCAATTCCCCTTTTTCTATATCACCTCATATGGATCATTATTATGCCTTTTTACAGATTTGGAACTAAGATAATGATACTCGAAAAGGTTGCCATGGGAAACCAAGGCTCAGCAGAGGTATGTTTTCAGGCTTCTTAAGATCCAGGGGCCAGTGTAGTATACATTGGGAGTAAGAGAAAAGATACAGAAATGGTGACAGGAATGGTTTACAGGCCAAGTTACTTTCTAATCTAGGCATGGGCAAATTTCAGCCCTCCAGGTGTTTTGGGCTTCAATTTCCATAATTCCTAACAGCCGATAGGCTGTTAGGAATTGTGGGAGTTGAAGTCCAAAACCCCTGGAGGGCCCAAGTTTGCCAATGCCTGTTCTAGTCTCTTTACTCTTCCTCAGCCTGGAACTCTCCAAATTTTGGGCCACAATTGCCTCAGCCTGAGCAAGCATAAACAACAATGAGGGGTCAAGGGAACTAATGGCCAAAACAGGTTGGAAACAAGACTTTCCTAGACTGGAAACGGAAACAGGTTGGCAAAAGGAGTTGTAGTTGTTAACCAGTTCCCTACAGGCACAGCATCTTACCCTGTTGAACTGAGCCCAGGAGACAGGCATGTTGTTGTAGTCTTCTATGTGGCTGCTGTTGCTGTTGAAGAGCTTCTGAGCCAGGAAGAGAAGGTTATCCTTAGTGAGCCCTCGGCTACTCTGGACTTCAGACTTGAACTTCATGTTCAGAGCCTCACAGAGTTGCGACCACATCACTTTGTCAGGCACAGCGAAGGGCACGCGGCCCGGCTCCGCAAAAGCATTGTCCCACAATACGGTGGCAGTGGCATTGTTGTCCTGGCTACCATGCACAATCACCACCACAGGCAAAGACAATGTCTTCACCTGGAACACCAGCTCATTGCCTCCAACACTGAACTGAGACTCAAAGAGGATGGTGAACTTCTCCTCAGTCACTGACTCAGCTCCACGCCGATCTGAGCGCTTGATCCGCTTCAAGGACTATAGAAGAGGTATGGGGGAAGTAAACATAGAAGGAAAAAAACACATGCATGCTGTCAGAAGCAAAGAAGCAATATGCATGGATAAACACAGGGAGAATTACATGCATGAGCTATCCAGTGAAGCAAATTTGCAGAGGGGACAAAACTTAGCATGAACTGATCTGTCCAAAGAGCTTTTCAGTGACTACAATTTGAAAGTTTATTATGTAGGCCATGTATGGGCACACTCATTCTCAGGGACCAGATGCTGTCCCTTGGGCTCTTTTCTCAGGCCATCTTCTCTCTCACCATCCTATCCTTCCTTCCTTCCTTCCTTCCTTCCTTCCTTCCTTCCTTCCTTCCTTCCTTCCTTCCTTCCTTCCTTCCCTCCTCTTCCTCCTTCCCTTCTGCCCTTTCCTCCTTCCTTCTATCTTCCCTTCCCTTCCTTCCTTCTACCCTTTTATCCTTTCCTCACTTTTGTCTTTCTTTCCTTCTCTCTTTCCTTCCTCCTTCCCTCCCTCTTCCTCCTTCCATCCTTCCCTTCCACCCTTCCGTCCTTCCTTCCTGGTTTCCTCCCTCTCTCTTCTTCCTTCCCTTTCTTTCCTTCTCTCTTTCCTTTATCCTTCCCTTCCTTCCTTCAATCTTTCCCTCCTACCATTTCATCCTTCCTCTTTCCCTCTTTCCTCTCTCCTTCCCTCTCTCCCTCTTTCTTCTTCCATCCTTCCCTTCCTCCCATTCATTCTTCTTTCCTTCTCTCTTTCCTTCCTCCTTCCCTTCCTTCCTTCCATCACTGGGCAGCCAGTCTTCCTAGCAGGGAGTGCTAGCATGGAGCCCCCAAGTTAGAAAGTTTACCCATGTAGGTAGATGTAGGCATACAGTAGGCTCTTCATATTCACAGCCTGAAATTATTAAAAAGATGATTCCTTGATTTTGCCATTTTATATAAAATACACCATTCTATAATGTCACAATGGGACTTGAGCATCCATGGATTTTGTATCCATGAGGTTTGTATGTGTGTGTCCTCAAGCTAAACTCCAATTGATACCTAGTGTTCGTTGTAACAGTAGAGAAATAAGAAAAGATAAGAAACATTTCCTTTTGCATTCATTAAAACCTATCCAATTCTGCTTTAGAAGATGTCCCCTGCTTAACATACTTGTCTATGCTTTTACTAGAAAGTAGCATTGGAGTATTACTAACATTTTTAAATACAGTAAAAGGGCAATATGGAATTAGGAAGATGGAGCAGGAGTTAGAGTAGACATTTTTCTCACCATGTTGCGAAAATGAGCACTCAGTGTTCCAGTTGCTTGGTGATATTCCATCACGCAGCAGTTATTCAAGATATCACCGCTGCTTTCACTGCCAAAAGAAAATAATTGTGCTTTGGAGAATGCAAGCACTGCACCATGGGCAATGTTTTATTTTCCCATGGACAGTGTCCAGTTGTTCATCATGGAGAGACTAGTGATGTGACTTCACCTGGCAGAGAATTCAAGTTTTTGCAAATTGTTTAAACAAAAAGTTGTTATTTTTAAAACTAGAAATACATTATTAGAATAAAATCAACAAACAGAACATATACATAGATATACATATTAAAAAGGCTACAAGTGGATGATAACTTTTCCCCTTGTGCCCTTTTGACAGTCTTGGAGTAAGTTATTATCATGTCATAAAGCTTTCTCCTCAGAAGAAAGTTTAACAAGAACATACTGTACTCATGTACTGGGCATGAAGGGCCTACTTGGCATGAGACTTAAAAGCACACACAGCAAGGAAGCAGGTACATAAAGAAACTTTGAAATTTCTAGAGAAAAAAGATTAGGGTGAAATTTCTATTTTTCTATGTTTTAGCTCCTTATCTTCCTGCATAAAAGAGGAAAAATATTTGTTCTTATATCACTCCTTAGGATGAAATTTCTACTTTTCTGCATTTTAGTTCCTTATCTTCCTGCACACAAGAGGAAAATATTTGTTCTTATATCACTCCTAGCCATTGCTTTCCAGATGGGATGACTAACTTCTCTAAGATTTCATAAAGTTCAAGTTCATGCCTCCACATGCAGCTCCGCTTCTTTTCTCTTCTTGGTTTCTGGTACTGTGTAACATCTCCTTGCTTTATTTGCCAAATCCCTCTGTTTCTTTGACACAAGTGATGTGTGAGGATTATACATACTTGCGTGTGCTCTCATTCTTCAGAAGGGCTTTGGCCTGTTGTTCACTGATGATGGTGGCCTTCACCTGAGGGGGATTCATGTGAACGTTCAGCTTTCCACCAACTAACAGCCTTACTGTGGCTGCAAACTTGGTCTGTGTTTTCAGCACTTGAGGGGGTTGCTTTTCAATGATGAAGGTGCTGTAAGGAGAGGGGAGTAAACAAAGGGAAACATTGCTTACACACTGAGATAAGGTAATCATGGAAAATGCTTGACTTGACTAGTGTTTCTAATTTCTAAGTTTCCATTATACTTTTGAAAAGAACTGAACTTCATGTTGTGGGAAGAACAAAGGGAAGAAGGGTTTACTATCCACTGAAGTTAAAATTCCAGAAAGTTATTTTTTTAGATGACAGTTTCCAGACTCTCCCAATGAGTGTGGACTACCTAAATTTTATTAGCTTTTATTTCCAGCAAGTAACTTTTTTCAAGTTTTACACAATGGGGAACCTCTATTTCTGATACACATTTTTATAGTCTTGTGCATTTGTATAGAAACTCTATCGGTTTGTTTGTTTCATTCACAAGGCCCCATTTTCATTTTCAAGTGTCTCTCCCCAAAACAGGTGTCTATCCAAATGAGCTTTTTCACCCCAAGTCCAGAAAAAATAGTATTTTCGTCCCATTCGTGGCAATGGGCGGCCTTCGCACACTCCCTTTCCCCTCAGTTTGAGGCACTGGCAGGCGTGGGTACTTTCTGGGCCTGCACACCATACATGCACTCTCTTTCCAAGGAAGTGCCCAGCGCTTGGCTGTAGGCACGGGCGTTTTGGGCCTACAAACCACACATGAACTCTCATTGGAAAGAGAGTGCGTGTGTGGCTTGCAGAGCAGACCCAAAGCACCCATGCCTGCCATGGCCTGCAGGTGAGCGCAAAAATCAGGCAACCAAATGGTTACCGTTCCCACTTTCCTTTCGTTTCACTGATATTCCGTAGGGGGAGGGGGGAGTGTACCGTTTCTTGCCATTCGAATGAAACAAATGGCACGAAAATACGAATTAAATGGCTGAAATGGTTACCAGCCCCATAACTACATTTTTATTTCATATGTATTTGTTGGTCATCATGCTAGGTGCTGGTTCTGGGGGAAACTGTCTAAAATATAACTTTCTGGTCCAAGGTGAATATCATAATATACTGAATATGCCTTCAAGTTGCTTGCAGAATAAAAGGTTGAGAGTAGGCATGATACCCATGTTTAAACATGTAAGATGGATCAGGCATGTTTTTTGCTGCCCTGGAGACTAGGAGTAATTGTTCAAATTACAAGAGCTTCCTGACCATAAGAACAGTTTTAACAGTGGAACTCACTGCCTCGGAATGTGGTGGAGGGCTTCTTTGTTTGAGCCTTTTAAACAGAGGCTGGATAACCACCTGTCGGAGGTGTTTTAATTGTGATTTTCCTGCTTGGCAGGGAATTCGACTGGATGATGCATACGGTCTCTTCCAACTCTATGATTCTAGCAACCTATGAATCTATGCCTGTTGACTTTTGGTATCGCCATGAATTTCACAGGGTTCTCTTAAGCAAAGACTATTCTGAGATGATTTGCCATTGCCTTCCTTGGAATACAGCCTACGCACCCAAGTATTCCTTGGCAATTTCCCTTTCAGAAAGTAACCAATCCTGGCTCTGCTCAGCTACCACAATCAGATTGCACTTGCTGTCTTTAGCTTCAACTAAGGATAGCATACCTCCTCTGAATGAATGCCTGGTATTTGTGGTATTTTTACAATGTGTACATGTTTAAATTAGTCTGTAAACAACCTTGAGCCTCAAAGAGAAATAAGTAAGAAATAAAATTATTATTATTATTATTATTATTATTTAGCATATTTAGGCATAACAGAAAAATGAATAACATTCTATGTTATGTAATTTTAAATATATTAGCTACATAGAAGAGAAACTGATAAACTGCATTAGTGACTTGAAAAGATGCATAATGGGACAGTGGGAAGAGTGTCCTGAAGTATGTCGACACTCCATAGCCAGTATCTCAAGGAACAACAGGACTGATCTATTACTATGTTGGCTCCCCTACATAGGAACATAACAACAGTCCTTTAGTAGATACAGACATTGTGGAATTGGCCAGTTCTGAAGCCCACTATCATAAATTCCCAAGAGAATTCGAGCCGATATTGTTGCAAATTAGAAGCCAAAACTAAAAAAGCAATTCCCAGCATTTCAGAAATTATATCTTTCCTGACATTTCATAACAGATGAGTGGAATGCAACACTATCAACAAACCATACATGCCACATTTCAACCCATCCCCCCTTAAAATACATGTGTTTCCCTTTCTGAAAAAAAAACAAAATAAAAACACTCTGTCCATCTCAGCCATCTACTTACCTTGTGACCAGGGCCGAAATTATGTCTGTGATGGTGGCATTGAGTTCAACCAGCATCTCCTCAATGGGGCCTGGTATAGGCAATTGCTGGCAGAGATGTTCAGCACGTCGAACTTGCTGACGGTTCTGGCAGATGATCTCAGCCAGCTTCTCACACCTTGAGAGAGAAGAAGCAGTTTAGGGATGGATAAGAAAGGCAAGAAGTCATAAATGAGATGAGTTGAATCCAGAAGATGTCCAGGTCGCTAACTCATCATTCTAGTCATCTCCTTGCTTTGGACATTTAAGCATATAGCTCCTCCTATGGACATCTTATCTCCACAACAGTCACTGTTAGCAAAGCTGAAACAGAAAAAAGTGACCCTAACCAATTGCTACTGAAACCTAGACAGAAGCACTGTGCCAGAATTTCCCAAGATTGTGAACCCCTGTATCCCTGAACTGTGTCCCAAAAAGTAAGAAGGTGTTCCCTTCCTGTCTATAGTTGAGCCTCATCTGGATTTTTCATTTATACAAATATTTATATTCTTCACTATAGCATGAGATCTCGGGATAGTGCACAACTAAAATAATTTTAAAACACTTTTGCAGATTTGATTAAATATGGATAGGTTCTCTCTAGGAATTTCCAGAGTCTTCCAGTGTGATTCCAGTGTCATGGCCGGAATCACTGGGTTGCTGTGAGATTTCCGGGCTGTATAGCCATGTTCCAGAAGCATTATCTCTTGATGTTTTGCCCTCATCTATCCAGGCATCCTCAGAGGTTGTGAGGTTTGTTGAAGACTAGGCAAGTGTGAATGTTGCAATTGATGCTAATCAAGGTGATCAACTGCAATATTCACATTTGCCACAAACAGACATCTTTCTCCCACCCTGGACATTCCACAGATATATAAACCCCACTTGTTTAGTTTCCAACAGACCTCCCTACCTCTGAGCATGCCTGCCACAGATGTGGGTGAAAAGTCAGGAGAGAATGCTTCTGAAACATGGCCATACAGCCTGGAAAACTCACGGCAACCCCCCCCCTCTCTCTCTATATATATATATGTTTGTAGTTTTTCACTTTCACTGATGTCCCTAACCTCAGTGAATGTGGAGGGCTGACTGTACATACAAAAAGGATATTTCTCTTCATCTGGGCTGTCACTCTCCCCCTTCCTTATCTGAAGCCATCAGAGAGACTGAAGGCACACAGTTCCTTAAAGAAGATATAGGTGAAATATGCCATCACTTATTTAAAGGGAGAAACCATCACCAGCACATTCCTCTTCCCTCTCCTTAGCAACAAAGGGAGATTATTTTTCCTCTATTTTTATTGAACATTTTGTTTTTTGAAAAAAGAAACAAAGGAAGATTCAGGAGAGTGCCATTTTTGTGCCTGTTTTTGCTCTTTTTGGCCTCTAGAGGGCCTCAACAGTACAGCCAGATCCTTACTGCTTTTGACATTGCTAAACTGTTCATGCCTCAAAGGAACACCACCACTATCCCAGGACTGTTTTTTCAGTCATGAGGAACAGAGGAGAAACATCTGGATGACCAGCACCTGATGAACCAACCTGGACACAGCATATTATTTGAGAACACAGAAATGCTGGACCACTCTAACAACCACCATGTCAGACTACACAGAGAAGCCATTGAAATCCACAAGCATGTGGACAATTTCAACAGAAAGGAGGAAACCATGAAAATGATCAAAATCTGGCTACCAGTATTAAAAAAACTCTAAAATTACAACAGCAAAACAACAGAGAGGAAACAATCTGGGACATCTAATCACCTCTCAACGAAAGATTGCTCCAGGCACTAACAAGCCACATCAACAACAGCCAGGCCATCACATGCTAATCAAGGTGGTCAGTTGAAACATTCATACCTAGCTCCAGCAGACAAGAGTCCTTTGTCCCACCCTGGTCATTCCACAGATATATAAACCCTTTTTCCTAGTTCCAACAGACCTCACTATCTCTGAGGATGCTTGCCATAGATGCAGGTGAAACGTCAGGAGAGAATGCCTCTAGAACATGGCCATATAGCCTGAAAAAACCTACAACAACCCAGTGATTCCGGCCATGAAAGCCTTCGACAATACATATTAGATTTCTCTTAAAACAGAAAAAAGAGGAAAATATCATCAGAAATTACTGTTACGGTAGCACTGTTTAGGAGGCGCTCTTCTCATAATTCAAGACTTCAAAATTGAGATTGACAGTCCCCATTAAAATTGTACTACTCAGTAGAACAACAAAGGTGATCTTCTCACAATTCAGGACCCAAAAATTGTGTGCGAGTGGTCCCGTCAGGGCCATACTAGTCAGTAGGTCTTCAAATGTGACATTTTAACAACTCTAAAACTGAGACTGACTGTCCTTGTTATGTTCAGTTGCCATGCAAAAACAATATTCTCACAATTCAGGACTCCTAGACTGAGGCCAACTGTGCCAGTTAGGGTCATACTACTTGGTAGGCCCTCAAAGTTGTGATCTTTTCACTAACCAGGATTCCAAAACTGAAACTGACTGTCCTCAGTAAGGTAGTACTGCTCAGCAGGTCCTTAAATGCAGTCTTACATAAGTCAGGACTCTAAAACAGAGACTGAATGTCCCTGTTAGGGTTCTTCTGCTCAGGAGTCCCACAAAAACTATCATCTCACAATTTAGGAATGTCATCCAATGCAGTATAGCCAGAATGTTAAATCCATGTCCTGATCAACAGCAGGATGTAATTGAGAAGGTGGGACCGGATCTTCGTTTTAGATTTGTAAGGATTGTGTACAGACAACATTCCTACTCTCAACCAGACCCTGCATGAAGAATTGCTCTCCAACCAGCAGAAAAATGATGGAAGTAATCATATACATAACCCTAAATCAAACATGTCAACAAGGCCATTGACACAGAATTCATGTGAGAACAATAAACAAACAAAGAAACAAACAAACAAACAAATAAGGTGAGATTCATCAGATGCCATGAAAGAAAAGATATCCTGAAATTAGCCTTGAATTGACAGCTTGGGTATGAATTAAAGACATCAATTAAAACTATAAAAAGACTAAATAACACTTCCAAACTGGACTTGACGGCTTGACTAGACCTAAGAATACAGAGGGAAAAGTGCTAATATATTGCTTTCTTATATATATTTCCTGAAACACATCAGGGAGGTCTTCCTTCTCCAGATCCAACTCTCCATCAAAGCAAAATATAACCTTTCTGGAATTTTTTCCTCGAATGCAAGGTGAACAACTGTCTGAAATCCAGGGGTCTACTCACCCCCATGGACAGAATGCCCTGATAATACTTCTTAATGCTTCTATCTTAATCTAAGAATTTCCCAACATGGTGAGAAGGATTCCAATGAAAATAGGGCTAGGGGCTGGGGTTTTTCTTTGGCAGGGGATCATAAGTGACTTTTTATTTCGGGCTAGCGCTTTTTATCTACCTGTTGTGGAATTTTCCTGTAGTTTTAGGGAGAAATGCCTTGCAGGACCTAAATCATGCTGACATTAAAATACCTTTGGGTTATTTTGGGGGCTTTGAGGGCTGCAAGAACAGGGTCCAGGAGTCCCATGGGGTGTATGGACTGCACTATGCTCACCCTTGCCCTAACGTGACCTGTAAGCCTTTTTATTTATTAAAGCATAAGTTGTTACAAATTACTAATCATGTCAGATTTCTTTCTTTTTAAAAATACGTTTTCATTCCTTTCTGGCTTCAATAATGTTCTTGAAATATGTGCCTGATTATTCTGAAGGGTGGTTGAATAATTTATTTATTATTTATTTACAGTATTTATATTCCACTCTTCTCACCCCACAGGGGACTCAGGGCAGATTACAATGTACATATACATGTCAAACATTCAATGCCATAGACACACAACATATATAGATGGACACACAGAGGCTATTTAACATTCCAGCTTCTGGCCACCAAGGGAGCTCTCGCGTCCTCATTCTTTGCATACTTCTTGGAGATTTTTTATGGCCTCGTAAATTAGTTAAATTTGTCTCCCCACATAAGTGGTACCTAAATTTCCTTCTTGACAGATGCAACTGTGTTTCGGGCTGCAAAGGTCGACAACAAGCTACACAAATTTGGTCGGGAGCTCAGTCCGATCCGGGCTGGCTTCGAACTCATGACCTTTCGGTCAGTAGTGATCTTAATGCAGCTGACTCCCAGCCAGCTGAGCCACAGTCCCGGTGCGACATTAACAGCTTCACTGGACAAAGCTTCAGCCTTTTATGTAGCTTTTAGTTCCTCCTTGCCTGGCTTCCATAATTCATCTTTTCATGTTAAAAATCTTCATTTTTTGGATTAATTTTACTCAGTTTAGTATCTGGAATACACAGCCCAGTCTAGCATTGCTGGATGCAAAAGGGACTCTGCATATAGCCAAAAAAATGTGTTCTTGATTCCTACTATATTTGTCCAGTATGATGCCTTCATTCATCATAATTCACTGAATGAATGAGACAGGCACTCCTCCATCCCCATTCTTACACTTTTCCAATTTACCATCCTAACTTACCAGGCCTGGAGGCCATCCAAAGGGCCCTCGGGTGGCCCGCCATTTCCTGCTAGCTGTTGCCGTCTCTTCCACTGGATAAGTTCATCATCCAGAATTATTGTCTGCTGTTTGCGGAGCAGGGCCAGCGTTTGCTGGTGTTTTTCAGCCAGCTCCTAAGGAAGAAAAAGAGAAAATGTGCACATGGAGTTAATAACCAGAAGCACAGTATCAAGATAAATTGAAGAAAGGAAGAAGCATGGTTTGCTTGCGGGGATTTCAGTGTGCTACTTGAATGTTAGCACTCACCACACGATATTGTTGCAATGTCTGTGCCTCCCGGTGCAGCCAAGCTTCCAATGATGCCTTCTTCTGCTGCAAAGTAGGTTCACGGGTCATCCGCTCCTGGGGGTTTAGCTGAGCCAGCTGAGTAAGTTGGGCTGGGAGCAGGAAGAAGAAAGCATTACCTTCCCAGGTCACCTCAGGCAATGACAGAAGAGAAGTGATAACATTACTTATCAGTAATGTTGAAAAATTCATCTTAGGAGCATAAGAGGTGATACCCTCTCAGGTCATTCAACTTGGAATTGTCCACTCTTTTTTTCTTAACACTGTCCAGAGATTCAAGGAGCCTTACCTTGTAGACGAAGGCTCTCTTGGTACTGGATAATGAAGTATTCCTGCGTCTGCTGAAGCTTCTTTAGCTGGTTCTCGGTGTCCTGTGTAACCAAGCGAAGCTCCTCAAAGGTCTGGTTGATCTGTAAGTGCTTCTGAGACAGGGCATCAGCCAGACTGCTCGCTGGGGAGGGGCTCTGTACATGTAGCAGCAGAGAGGAACAGAAAAACACTGCTGATCACTACTGTGAGACATTTGTTCCTTTATCCCACAACTTTTCCACCAGGTATGAGGTTCTCCTAACCCTTCGCTGATACCAAATATGAGAACTACCCAAAATCTCATTGCCATCACCATAGCAGAACGACAAGTCCATGCATGGGGAGCAGAAAGGGACAAAGAATCATAGAATTGGAAGAGACCTCATGGACCATCCAGTCCAACCCCCTGCCAAGAAACAGGAAAATTGCATTCAAAGCACCCCCGACAGATGGCCATCCAGCCTCTGTTTAAAAGCTTCCAAAGAAGGAGCCTCCACCACACTCCGGGGCAGAGAGTTCCACTGCTGAACGGCTCTCACAGTCAGGAAGTTCTTCCTAATGTTCAGATGGAATCTCCTTTCTTGTAGTTTGAAGCCACTGTTCCGTGTCCTAGTCTCCAGGGCAGCAAAAAACAAGCTTGCTCCCTCCTCCCTATGATTTTGTCTCATATATTTATACATGGTTATCATGTCTCCTCTTAGCCTTCTCTTCTTCAGGCTAAACATGCCCAGCTCTTTAAGCCGCTCCTCATAGGGCTTGTTCTCCAGACCCTTGTTCATTTTAGTTGCCCTCCTTTGGACACATTCCAGCTTATCAACATCTCCCTTCAATTGTGGTGCCCAGAATTGGACACAATATTCCAGGTGTGGTCTAACCAAGGCAGAATAGAAAAGTGAGGGCTCTTCTTTGTTCCCCTCTGCTACCCATGCATGGACTTGTCTTTCTGTTGTAGCCACCAACTGCAGCGGCCTCCCAGACGCCCTAATCTAGATGTGTCCTATGTGAACTATTATCCAACTTATATCACCCCTCTTTATTCACTGCTCCCACCACAGATACTGTGTCTGAATTCAAGATTTATAATATATTCCAGAAGGACACATACTTTTGTAACTGAAATTGAATGTGACAAAGCAGAACAATTTTATTACATTTAAAACATATCTCATGCTCTCTTTCTCTCCTGTCCAAACTACTGCAGGCCTTAAACACCACTGATTATTTATTATTATTTATTTATTTATTTCTTGCACTTATAGACCGCCACTCTCAGCCCTAGGGCGACTCGTGGCGGTGTACAACAACATAGAAAAGACAGGTTACAATAAATCAACAATACACAACATTCTACTACTACAACACTACTATACTAAAAATCCGCTTCGTCAAATCATAGGGTCCTAATCCATCTCATAATCACAGTCCATTCCGGTCGTCAATTCCAGTATTTAACATAGCACTCAATTGAAGGCCATCTCGAAGAGCCATGTTTTCAGGCCCCTACGAAAGGCCATAAGGGAAGGCGCCTGTCTAACTTCAGCAGGGAGGGAGTTCCAAAGCCGGGGGGCCACCACCGAGAAGGCCCTCTCTCTCGTCCCCGCCAGACGTGCCTGCGAGGCAGGCGGGACCGAGAGAAGGGCCTCCCCGGATGATCTCAAGGCCCTCGTGGGCTCGTAGGCCGAGATGCGGTCTGCAAGGTATTTTGGGCCGGAACCGTTTAGGGCTTTGTAGGATAACACCAGCACCTTAAATTGGGCCCGGTAGCAGATCGGCAGCCAGTGGAGCTGGGACAGCAGGGGCGTTGTATGCTCCCTGCGCCCTGCTCCTGTTAACAACATGGCTGCCGCGCGCTGGACTAGCTGAAGCTTCCGGGCCGTCTTCAAGGGCAGCCCCACGTAGAGAGCGTTGCAGTAGTCAAGGCGGGATGTGACCAAAGCATGTACCACCGTGGCCAAGTCAGACTTCCCAAGATACGGGCGCAGCTGGCGCACAAGCCGAAGCTGTGCAAATGCTCCCCTGGTCACCGCTGAAACCTGGGGATCCAGGCTCAACGATGAGTCCAGGGTCACACCCAAGCTGCGAACCTGCGCCTTCAAGGGGAGTGCGACCCCGTCCAGCACAGGCTGTAACCCTATACCCTGCTCGGCCCTGCGACTGACCAGGAGTACCTCTGTCTTGTCTGGATTTAATTTCAGTTTGTTCGCCCTATATTATTCCTATATCTAACCTAACCTGTCCCCGATTCTCGTTCATTCAATTCTCTAAACATAACTTTCCAACCAACTATATCAATTGCCATTCCACCAATTACTTTTCACTTACATCTGTGGCCTCTCGGACCAGACGCTGCTCATGATAGAGGATGTGCCGGATACAGCGCACCAGTTCCAAAGGGCAGTGTTCATATGTGTTCTATAGACAATAAGAAGCAGCAAAATGAAATTTCAGGGTAGAAAGAATGGGAAAAAGTAGCAAGTGGCCCCACAGCCCACCCATCCATTAGGAATCCTGAATGCAAAGTTTCTCAATTGTTTCCCAATTTTTACTATATCCCCCAGCAGCTGAAACCCACCTTCAACTGGGTGGCATAGTGACCCAGTTTGATCTTCAGAAGGAAGCCGTCCTCACCCACTTGATGGTCTGCCTTCTTCTGCAGTTCCTGAATCAGACCCTCCAGCAACTGAGTGGCTTTGGCACCCTCCTGGGGATTGTCCAGGTCAATGGAGTCCCTGTTAGATTAGATACAAATCAGGACTGCATGCATGAGTTTCACAGGGCAATTTCTGCCCATGGGCTCTATCCCAAAATGAGGCAAGCCGGCCACAGGAAGATCTAGAACAGTGGTTCTCAACCTGTGGGTCCCCTGATGTTTTGGCCTTCAACTTCCAGAAATCCTAGTAAAATGGCTGGGATTTCTGGGAGTTGTAGGCGAAAACAACTGGGGACCACAGGTTGAGAACCACTGATCTAGAGACTATCTTGCTCTGTAACAGGGGCCAGCAGGTTAAACCGCTGAGCTGTTGAACTTGCCCACCAAAAGGTCAGTGGTTCAAATTCCAGGAGTGGGGTGAGCTCCCACTGTTAGCCCCAGTTTCTGCTAACCTCGCAGTTTGAAAACATGCAAATGTGAATACATCAATAGGTACCGCTCTAGCGGGAAGGTAACTGTGCTCAATGCAGTCATGCTGGCCACATGACCTTGGAGGTGTCTATGGACAACGCCAGCTCTTTGGCTTAGAAATGGAGATGAGCACCCCCCCCCCCCAGAGTCCAACACGACTAGACTTAATGTCAAGGGGAAACCTTTACCTTTACTTAGCTCTGTAACACACGTATGTCCCTGTGCATGATATTAGTTCATCTGAAAGTACTACCACTCCCCAGTTTCTTACAATCACTAATTCCAATTTACAATTTCTTCATAAAGAGGTATTCAAATCAAATAGAAATTCACTCATTTGTCACTTAGCTCAGTGTGCATAAACACATGACACTAACATAGAGCACAGATCTTTCTCACTACCTTTCCACTGTACCACTGTCATAGATGTGCACATAAACAAACAGAATACAGGTTTAGACATCATCCTTTCCTATCATTGCAGACTGGATGGGGCATGCTGTTATCAAAATATTTTTAAATACTTCATAAACTTTTAATTGTTTAAAAACATTCCTCTTCTAATTTTTAAAATGGGCACAGCCCGTTTCAAATGAGCTGCAGAAATTTTTAAAATTTCAGTCACAGAGAGAAAACAACTTGAAAATACATGACACATGCCCCTTTAGAATAGTCCTACAACTCAAGTAATATTTTGCCTTTTCCCCAATCAGAGCAGATGAGGAAACCAAAATTGGGTAACAGGTGGTGGCGTCATTCATATCAAATAGTAAATAAGCTTCCTGGGAAACTTATTTTGAATTAACTGCATAGTAGTGCACATTCAGCACTAGATTTGGTTCCTCTTTTCAGATAAGTGGCTAGCAAGCCTAAAATAGCAAGCCTAAAATGCATACCACTTGAACAAAGGCCTGATATGTTGCTCCTAATTAAGACAAGGTTTGGTTTTTTAAAAATACTTTTTATTAACACAAATACCGTATATTCCGGCATATAAGACGATTGGGCGTATAAGACGACCCCCAACTTTTCCAGTTAAAATATAGAGTTAAGATGACTCCCATGCATAAGACTACACCCGCATATAAGACGACCCCTGACTTTTGAGAAGATTTTCTTGGGTTAAAAAGTAGTCTTATACGCCAGAATATACTGTAAGTATTTTTCAATATTATTAAAAAGGAAGAAATATGGGGTAGGCCATTGGGAAAGGGAAAGGGGAAGTAAAGACAAAACATTTTCACAAAAAAAGGAAAAAGAAAAAAGAGAAGGAAAAAGATGGTGAGTAATATAAAAAATTAGGACAGGTAAAAAAGGGTATTGCAACTTCATCTACTCCATAGTGGTGTATTTATTTGTCCTTTCAAAAGTTCTTATTTTCCACTTCTCATTTTGTACTATCGTGTGAAACAACTATTTTCTTGAATCTTTTCTTTGAACATATTAATATTTCCATCTTTTCTCACTTCAAATATTCTTTGATAGGTTGCCAGTAGGTTTGGATCATGAGTTTTCTTTGGTATGTTGACAACAGTTGGGTTAGTCTATTCTTGCAGCTGTTACTAGGTAGTTAAAGAGTATATCTTTGTTTTTCTCTTTTTCTGTGTCAAACACTTTCAATAGAAAATATTCTGGTTCCAATTTAATTTTTATATCCAACATTTTCTGAATTCTCTCTTGAACTTCTCTCCAGTATTTTCTTGCAGCTCCACATGTCCACCACATGTGGAAAGAAGTGCCTCTCTGGGTCTCACATTTCCAGCATTTATTTTGTATGGTTTTATAGCATTTAGCAAGTTTTTGTTGGATGACGTACCACTGGTACATCCTTTTCTACTAATTATTTTTTAAGTCATACGCATAGGTGTATTTTATCTTATGATTCCAGATTTTTTTTCCTATTCTTCAAATTTTGTGTGACCTTTTTTGGCCACTCATTTTACCATGTATTCTTTGACTTGCTTTGTTTCTGTGGCCCATTTTAGCAGTTTTTTGTAAATTTTTGTGATGACTTTCTTTTCTGTTATCATTATTTTATCCCAGAAAGAGTCTTTATTAGCAAATCCCATATTATTGTCCTTATTGTAGTATTTTCAGCTGTCTATATTGGAACTAGGAAACATTTTTGTATTTTGGATTGATTACTTCTTATTTTCTTAATTTGTAATTTTCTTTCTCTTTTGTGAGTAATTCTTTATATGTAGGCCAACTTTCCCAAACTAATTCTCTTCTCTGCCCCGCCTCTAAGGGCAGTATCCACAATGGGTTTTGAGATATAGTCTGTTTCTATAGTTTTGTAACCTGAGGAAAAACTCTGGCCTGTTTGGCATCAACAAACCAGGATCCTACAGGAAGAAAAATATTTTATGCTTTTTTAAAAATTCTATTCACATTTCTGGAAAAATCTAAGTATGAGCAAGAGTTTTGACTAGCACTAATGGTATGGCAGGATTCACCAGCAAGAATTGTCTGTTGTTGTGAATACAGCAAGTGAAAGGAAGTTGTTTAACATGAAAGCTAGCTGGACAAATGAATTAATTATATAATCCTTTCATGAGGACTGTGGAGCTAGAATAGCAGATTGTTTGAGAAATATTTGGAAGGAACTGTCCAAGAATTGTATGTCCGGTGAGCAGGCACCGACTATTTAGAGTAGTCTCAAGACAGGATCGCTGGAAGATGCAAAATAGAAGCAAGTGACTGATATGAGAATTAGCAACCAGTTAAAAATTTGGCTTGAGATAAAAACACCTGGAAGGTACATATAGCAGACAATTATCTTGATTGGAAAACCAAAGTAGCTTGCCAGTCATGTGGAATGAAGGCCAAAATATATGCTATGACAGCTGCATCATTGTGGCCTGGATCTTTTCCCTGTCAAAAATTATCTGTTACCATAGGCCCATTGTGGTTCTAACACTGGGAGTAGGACCTGCAATTTACTTTGTCAGAGACATCATCCCCATTTTAATAAGATGACATAAATTGCAGTTGAGGGCTCTATTCTGGACTGGATTGCATGAGAGGAAGCAAAGGGTTAAAATGCCACTGCTCTGATACCTCTGTTTTGTACCAGTACAAAACAGAGGTACCGAGACATATGTGGGAGGGGCTGCCTACAAAATATACTATGCCAGCAGTTGACAGTTCCACAATGTACAACAGAGGATTTCCTTCACTCATAAAGGACCTGCAATGAACTCGCAATGCCTAGTTCCGCTGCAAGGCTGAAGATGGCCCTGGACAGCTAGGCTGACTTACCATGGCTGGCTTTCAATCCATTGTGAGAGGTAATGGCGGACCTCAATTGGAAAGTGCTGACCATAAAGGGCTTGCATCTGTCGCAGGGCATCCCCCTGCAGCTGCTGGGCTTGGATCCACACTGCCATAGCTCAGGACCTGCTGAAGAGGTGGCTGTTAATACTACATAAATATGACATATAATCCATGTTGTACCCCATCTTGAGACACAAGGAGAGAAGGGTAATAAAATTATTATTATTATTATTCTTTGATACAACAAGATTAGTAGACAGCAAACAAGATCACTATGCTGGTATTTGTATTTGATCACTCGTCAGACACTTCCCAAGTGTCTAGGATTGTGTGATATTATTATTATTATTATTATTATTATTATTATTATTATTATTATTATTATTATTATTATATGGCCTCTAGCTCAAGGTGGGGAAAGTGCAGTCCATAGGCCAATGTGGCCCCTACAATTTTTTATGCCCTCAAATGGCCTCTAAACAACACTTGCCATGTTGTTGGACTTCTTGGGCCATTTTAGGACCAGGAGAGGCTCTTTTTCAAAGAGAAAGTAAAAGAAGAGTGACTTACAATCACTTTCTGTTTTTTAAAAAGATCTCTCCTGAGCCTAAATGACTTGAGGATGAGGAGCCTTGCAAAACTGATGGTTTCGATGAGCAAAAAGGGTTTGGTTTTTCTTTTGTTTTTCGATATGGGAGATACAGCCTTAAATAATAATCATCATCATAAATTTTATCTGTACCCTGCCACCATCTCCTCGAAGGGACTCGGAGCTGACAAAGCACTCCAAGGTGCCACACATATAGTAAACAATATATAGACATAAAAACGATAATAACATAAGATTACAATTGGAAACACATTACAAAATAACACATAATAAAATATTAAAATTCATAAAATGCAGTCATGATTGTGGATAAAACTGGTTGTTTCCAATTAGCGAACCAAGTGCCAAAATAATGCCAAAACTAAGTCCTCAGACTAAGCCTTAAAATCTACACAAGAGAAGAGGTTATCCTAAATTCTCTAGGGCCGGGGGGCACCACCAAGGCTCTCTGTCTCATCCCCACCAACTGTACCTGGGATGGTGGCGGGACCGAAAGAAGGGTTACTGGGAGAGGGAGTTAATGTAGCCCCCTCACCTTCTCACAACTACCCACCTTTGTTTTAGATTAATGCATCCTTAGCCTGTGCTGCTCTGGACTCACCCCAACCTCCCATTATAGATTAAAGCTACACATGCACAATGTGTAGTTCCTTATTATGCATCTTCGTATAGCTCAAATACAGATGTGTAGAAATACCCAGATTCTTTTATAATTATTTAATTATTTTATTTTAACCATTTTATCCTTTTCTTTCCAGAAAAGCTAAGGGAAAATAAGTATAGAGTGGGTGGATTAAGTACATCTATAGTGATTATAGTCCAGAAGTAAAATAGACTGCTCTGCATTCTCGAAGCCAAAAGACCCTTTCTCTAAGCTCTAGTAACTGATTGTATATTCTGCCCACTTCATCCACAGATTCTGCATTCACAGATTCAACCATCCACATTTTGAAAATACGTTTTAAAAAAGCAAACCCTGATTTTTCAGTTAATATAAAGGACACAATTTTATTAAGACATTGTACATAATGGGACTTGAGCATCCATGGATTTTGGTATCCACAATGCGCCTTGGAACCAAATCCCAAAAGATAACAAGGGACCACTTTAGTTTTTAAATGTTGTGTGAGAGAGAAAGAGAATGAAAGAGAAAGAGAAACAGAGAGCAAGGAAATTACCGTGCTCACAGGCTCTTTGACTGTGTATGTGCTTCAAGCTTCCTGTCAACTTAATGCTACTCTATGAATTTCATAGGGGGGTGCAGTGGTGCAGCAGGTTAAATTGCTAAGCTGCAGAAGTTGCTGACCAAAAGATCAGTGGTTCAAATCCGCAGTATAGGGTGAGCTCCCCTTGTTAGCCACAGCTTCTGTCAACCTAGCAGTTCTAAAACATGTAAATGTGAGATCAATAGGTACAATGTTATTGTACTGATGAAGGCTTTCATGGCCGGAATCACTGGGTTATTGTAGGCTTTTTCGGGCTATATGGCCATGTTCTAGAAGCATTCTCTCCTGACGTTTCGCCTGCATCTATGGCAAGCATCCTGGATGCTTGCCATAGATGCAGGCGAAACGTCAGGAGAGAATGCCTCTAGAACATGGTCATATAGCCCGAAAAAACCTACAACAACCCTACAATGTTATTGTTTTACTTTGTTTTACATTGTTATGTATTTTAATGTGTTACATTTTAACTGTCTTGATCGGGCTTGTCCTCATGTAAATCACCCCGAGTCCCTTCGGGGAGATGGAAGTGGGGTACAAAAATAAAATTATTATTATTACCACTTCGGTGGGAAGATAACGGTACTCCATGCAGTCATGCTCGCCACATGACCTAGGAGGCATCTACAGACAACACTGGCTCTTTGATTTAGAAATGGAGATGAGCACCACCCCCAGAGTCGGACTTGACTAGACTTAATGGCAAGGGGAAACCTTTACCTTTATGAATTTCATAGGAGTTTTTTTTTAAAGGCAAGGAATCCTCAGAGGTAGTTTTCCCAATTTCTTCCTCTAAAACATAGCATTCAGTACCTGGTATTCATTGGTATTCATTTCCACTCAAGTACTAACTAGAAGTGACTCTACTTATAGCATCTGCTGCCTTTAAGGCCTTTGGACCTCCAGGTGTTTTGGACTTCAGCTCCCAAAATTCCTAACTGCAGGTAAAATGTCTGCGAGTTCAAGTCCAAAACACTTGGAGGACCAAAAAGTGGGAACCACTGCCTTAGGGTATATTGCCCCTCTTAATTGTTGAGGCCCCAGGCTAAGAAACTAAGCTATTTGGAGCTCTTTATAATTTAGAGTGGTAGTTTCCTTCCGGGGGGGGGGGGATTTCTGGGCCCCCAGTCCCTTAGCCTGCGGCAGATGGAAAAGCCTGTCATTTAGATGGGAAAAAACACAGAAAGCACACAGAAAGCCTGCAGCAATTTCACCAAAAAATTAACAGCATCAATCTCACAGCTATATTTTCTGAAAAGTAACCCTTATATCACAAAAACAATTGCAGATCTTTTGGTGCATTTATTAATCCTGCAAAGAGGAGCAAACAATGCAGTGGCATCTGAAAGGCTAACAAATTTTATTATAGCAGAGGGCTTTCATGGAATACAACCCCTTCATCTGATGCATGGGATGCTGACTCCTTTGACAGATACTTATTATACCTGCTTGGATTGGAGGTGTGTGTGTGTGTATAGTAGGAACTGAACTACTTTAACTGTAATGGCTGCAACTTTTGGAGGTTTTGAGTTACTAGAATTCCCCGGCAGACCACTATAAAACCCCCTCCATAAACTGCAATTCCCAGGATTACACAGTCAATGGAAGGAAAATAGAGTCTATAATTATGTAGTAATAAAGTGCCCCAGTAGGTTTCCTGCCATTGGATTAAACCAGACAGATAGGCCTTGGTCCTGATAAAGCAGAACCGTTTCTATATGGATTTTGGGATGTCGCACAGAGTAAGACATCCAGCCCACAAGAACATGATGATAGGATGAGTCCCGTCACTGAATTCGTGGTGCTATTTTGGGTTGGTAAGACTTCCCAACACCAGCACAGAGATGCCAACTTCTATTTTTGCCCTGGGCGACACTCAAGCTTGGCAGTTTATTTCAGGACCCTGGGCATTTAAACTGGCTTGTATTGTACTAGGCACAACAAGTGTTGTGTAGAAAGGACAGATGAGGGCAATCCATCTATAAAAAGCAAGCCACTGCCTTGTCACGTTTACATCTGAAGCTTGACAAGTCAGATTCAGTAGCTAGAATCTTAGGAGATGACGCAATAGTGATCAAAAATAAGGAAGTACCATGTGTTCAGAAGAAAGGGAGAGGAAGAGCCGGAGAATTACCAGCCGCTGAAGCACATGACATACCACTGCAAGCTCAGAAATAAATAAATGCAAGTATCTTCTGAGCCAAAGGACAGCCTGGGAAAAGACCAGAATGGACTGAGGAAATGAAAAACATTGCACGAGACCAGCATTACCCACTTCTGTTTCTAGTACATTAAGGAGATGGAAAAGGGAAGTGGTTCATAGTAGGATCCCCTTCTTTCTCCTATCTTGGATAGGAATATAAAAGCTGTACTTCTTCCTCTGCAGTTTACAGCACAAAAGTTCCCCGAGAAGGCTACTAGATGCTATGTGAACCTGCCATGAGTCATTTGAAATAAGACAGGTGATTACTGGAGCAGAGTCTTCTCAGCCTTGGCACCCCACACATGGAATTCCTATTAATGGAGAGATCTGCCTGACATTTTCCTTTGGCACCAACTTTCCAGGATCCCACATGGATGTCAAAATGTGTAGATGCGCCAGTCCCATTATATACAATGAACAGTAAAATTGCATCTCTTACATAAAATAGCATAATCAAAATTTGCTTTATGGATTTTTAAAAATCAAGCCATGGTGGTTGAATCCATAGATATGGAGACTACACTATATGCAGTTAGCTTTAAGGAGGGCTCCACTGCTAGCAAATCAAAACTTCAGGGATAATTTGTACCATGCACTGGAAACAGCTATCAGGAGCACAGCCATTGCTGCTGATGAACACCAAACATTCTGCCAACAGAAACAGCTGATTTTTTCCTTGCACTAATCACAGCCAAAGCACACACAGCGGCAGAACAAACAGAAATTGAAGGCCAAGTCTAATGAAACTTCCTACATTAAAAAGTTTTTATTTCCATTGTAGTCATCTCCTGCAATAGGCAAATTCTTAAGCACAATCTTCAGTGGGGACTTATTAGGAAATGTATGGCCAATGGGGAAGGCTGACTGAGAAATATCAGATAAAAAGAGAACCAGACAATGACATCTAATTACTCATTCAGCCATCACTGTTGCACTTGCTCCCATCATGCATCATCACTATCAGGCTGAGTCTCTCCTCGTGGTTGTGAAGACCATAATGAAACCCTAGCATTGTCCCTATGTACAGGATTGCCACCTATGGTGATGAAAATCTAACTCTTAACAAAAGTTGGGAACAAGAAAAGCGCTA